TTAATCTCAATAATAACAATGATCAATACTCAAAAGTATGGTCTCATCATGTATACGTAAATAATTAGTTATCCCAACCTCCTATCCCAAGTTCGTTCTCATGTGCACACCTATATCAATAGACTACTGCCGACCATATATCGAAAGCCACGGCCCTCGGCCTTCTGGTCTTACAACGAGTGTCCAGCCAGTAGGAGTCTCCCCCGAAGGCCCGGCCTCGCCATCGGACTTACATCGGGGTACTTATCACTGACCGAGCACAACCCTGGTCTCAAGCGACGTGTCCTTCGCAAGGACGTAAAGAGGAGATTACCCCATCGGGGTCGTTCTATAGTTACGGGAATAACCATTCGACGGCCGATACAGCTCACATCGAAGGCTACATGTTCCACATGCATAGTTTGATCATACTACAAGTAAAACAATAATAACAATATTAACATTTACAACATAGCCAATTTTTCAACACCCACCTGGAAATCACAGTAGAATATTGCACACGAAAGTAAGTACGTAGGATGAGGCTCGACTCCTCAAACACCTACATTTTATCAAGATAATATTCATTAATATTATTATGTTGACACTTAGAATAATTCATGAGAATTCATAATTAGTTGAACATTATCGACTAAGTAGTTCGTGAAATTTTGAGGAATTTGGAACTCTTGATATTTTAAAACAAAACTTGGAAAATGGTTACGAGGCTCAAGATTGAATAAAGCTCGACAACACTTAAATAAAATGAAATCCTTATTCTCCAAAATAACTACCACACTTCAACACACTTTGGAAAATAAAGTTCACAATAATTAGTAACTGGATTTGCTTAAAATAAAACAATGGATATTCGAAAATAGTTTTAGAACTTTCACAATTTACAACCCAAAAATGCATGGCAATAAAAATTGTTTACTAGGTAACATTTTTTGAAAAATAACTCAACACTAACAATAACAAGCAAGGAGGCTCACAAACAGAGGCTAGAACACTCAATCAAGAAGTTGAAAATTTCGGGAAGGCAGCTCAATATATTGAGTTTAAACAGGTCCATAATCAAGGCCATGACAACCGGTTTAGACCTCAAATTTAACGGCAATCAAACACAGATTTCAAAACATCAGATAGATAAATTGATGACATCAAAATTTTCCAACAGAGACTAAACTAAAAGGACTGTGAATTTTTGAAATTTCTCAAGGCTAGCTCACGGCTACAAAATGGAAAATATTACGAGAGTCCCAACTCAACTCATTATTCAAGAATGAAATCAACTTTTAGCAAAGATTCGATAGCACGTGCGACATATATCATAAACACGTTTAGCAATTATCACATAATATATCACAATAACACCAGTCAACGAAATTAAACGAAATGGAGTTCGGGCCTAGGTACCGTTCTCGGGACACGATCAAAAATGGAAAGAGAGGAACGACACAACGGTGGGCTCGACGGCTTCACTCGTCTCGCCGAGGCCTCAACACGCAACAGGGGCGAAGCTGCAGCAAGTAATGGAACCCGACAACGATGGACAACGGAGATGGAGGATGAACACGCGAACGGAGACGTCACTGGAGGCTTGCTCTCAAGGACCTGCGCGCGAATCCCCGGGACAGCAACTAAGCCACGTTAACAGCAAGAACACGGCCACGGGCTGAAACAGCTTCACGAATGCACTGTCGGGGCTCGACGGCTACGTTCGGCACTCCGTCGGGACTCAACGGAACTCAACAGCCACATTCGGCACTCCGACAGGACTCGACGGGACCCGATGGAAGGAAGGAGAAGGCGTGTTGTAGGGGAGAAGAGTTCTTGCCGGCAGCAGCTTGCGACGGTGACGATCGCGACAATGATGGCGATGGTTGATGGTGGCAGGATGATGGTGATGACCGATACGTGATGATGAGATGATAATGGTGGAGGTGCGCGCGATTAGAAGATGGTGATGAGGGACGATGATGGCAGCGGATGAGTGATGATGGTGGGATATTTTTGCAGAGGACAAAAAAAAATGAACTCTTCTCTTTTGTGTTGTAAGGATGGCAAGAAATTATAAGGGAAAAGAAATATTTACGTTTTATTTTCAATGGCTAAGAACTTGAGGGTCACAATTATTTTCCATAATTGTAACATAATTAGATTTAACTCACTTTTAAATGGCCATCACGTTTTTTTCTTTAAAAAATAAGAAACGGTTATGGTTTATGACCTGATCCAATGTGGTTCATGGCTCACGGGCCGGATTTATTCGGTTCGATACTTGCGATATTTCGGGCTCGGTTCAATCGCACGGTAAATTAAAATAAAACTGGAACATGAATATATATATGTATGATACACAATAATTATTAATTTTTAATAATCATATATAAAACACACAAATAACATTTATTTAATAATAGTAATATGCATATAGACATTTAATAACATTTAGGCATTTAGCAATAATAATAATAATAATAATATAATAATAATAATAATAATAACAACATCAATAATCAATTAGGCAATTAGACATTAAATATAAATAATAATTAATCTCAAATAATCCATAATCAAACGGGGTATTACATAATAATAAAAAAATCGCGATTCATTGTTCGTCTTCTCCGGCCTTCCAACTTCAGATCCATTTTTGCCCTTGCAACTTCAAGTCCAATCTTGCCCTTCCAACTTCATGACGCCGCCTTTCAAATTGTTTACACTTTCGACTGTCAGGATTTAACCTTCTACCCGCCTCGACAGTCAACGTATCCCGCCTATTTTAACTGGATTGGAGCTGGATTACTTACCGGCAGCCGTGTCGTGTCGTGTCGACACGGATACGCCGGTGGCAGGTGCCGAGTCTGGATAACATATTGTAAATTTGATTATAGCAATTGGGCATTTGCAGAAAACTGTATTTGCTTGGCAAACAGTGGACTTTGCGTCTCTCACCAGTAGGAGAAGAACTATCTGCGTAAGATTTGACATGGTGAGAAACTCCTCTGTATTTCTCGTTTGTGATTTTTATCTTGATTGGTTTAGAAATTAAGCATTATTGTCAATTATATTGAGGCCTGGGTCCTTTAGGAATCATCTCTTTGAAATGCAACATGAACATCAAGTTATGTATTGTTTCTTCCCTTCCATTCTTTTTAAATTTTTTGATGGGTGGTTTATGGAGTAGTTTAGTTCAGTTCCCTTCCTCTGGTTTTTTCACTAATGTTTTTGGTAAAATGTTGCTACATAAATTTGAACACCTTTATAAAGTTATTAATCATATCACACCATCCCTCCCTATATATTCATTCAATACGTGTTGAGCCTAGGTGGCAGATACTCATGCTTCGGATGCTGACATGGCCAAAATCTATGCTTCGTGATGTTGTTTTGATATTATTTTTGCTCTGGAGTTAGGTTTTGTAGTAGACATAAATAATTTTACACATATTTATTAACTCAGCACCAGTACATGGGTATTAGTACTAGTTTTAATATTTATTTGCAAAAAAGATTAATACCTTAGAAGATCCAGCAATTTTCTTTCCATACGGTTTCTTTCCATACGACATGTGTCGCTCATGAGGAAAATGCCCTCTGCAATTTTGTGAAATATCTTTGATGGATAAGGTCAATGATGGAACTTAGTAAAGTAAGAATTAACTTCAACACTTGAGAGACAACTACATGACCAGGAAATTGGTTTCTTGTAAAGGATATGGAAACCATAATAATTACTGTCAGAAGATGTTAAAACCAAGATGCCAAACTTTATGTGTTTGCCATTTAACTTCCCTCAAAAGTTCTTCCTAGATTAAATCCTTCCTTAACTGATTTGTTAATATCATGAGCCACAAGTGATAATTGGTCGTTTCATATTTATTTATGGGCATATTTTATCTTTGGATTTCTGGAATATAGCCACCTACACAAGTGGTGGATTGTAATTCTTGTTGTATGTTTTCATACAATTTTTCATTACGGATACTAAGGAATTTCTATCTTTTCTGTAGTTTTGTTGTAACGAGGGAAATAATTATTAAGGTTGTATAACTAGGGCTGAAGAGGCGATCATGTTGCGAATGTTAATGGTTGTTCTTTTTGGTTGCTGCATAACCTAAACTTCTAGATTTTTTTTCCTCTTAATTTATGATATTATAAATTTCCATATTTTCCTGCATGACAGAAAGAAAAACTAATTATTCTTGCAGGTGTACCACTCCAATTTTGTTGACGATGAAGAAATTACTAAAGCATGTGGTTGTCCTCTACTTCCCTTGAAAAGCCACATAAAAGGACCAGCTCCAGTTTCATAGCAAGGTCAGAATCACTCTTGACATGTCAGTGATTTACTAAAATAGACATATATTTTGCTGCCAAACTTAATATTGAATATGGAAAGTTAAAATTTAACTGTTTGGCAAAATTTGGTTATTTATTTGATTTGATAACTCTGGTCAAGTTTCTTTTCATTTATTTTGACACTTGTATTTGTGAAATTGATTGATTAAATTTTTGCTAAGTTGATATATTTTTTGATTTATTTCCTTATGTTGTATCATATTATAAATATGAGGATATAATCAAATTATTATTTGCAATTGAGTGATTAAATACTTGCTAAGTTGATATATTGTTAGATTTCTTTCCCTATGTTGTATCATATTACAAATTTGAGGATACAATCAAATTAAATATATCAACATATGTTAGAAAATTATAATAATTTGATGAGAACTGGTCTGAATTTATAATATAATACTTATCAGTTCAAGATAGGCATTTTATATTAAATATTTATATTTTTTGTTTACATTTTGTAAGATTTTTTACTTATATTATTTGTTAAAATTATAAACACTGTACTAATTAATTTTCTTTTATTTAAACATATTACCCTTGCATCACACGCCATGCTAGTCTAAAATAAGCTGAAAAGTTATTTTGTACGGGCATGCATGATGGTTTCAATAAAACTGATATGTTATTCACAACATAAATGTGTATGTGTGCAGAAAGCACGGACATTGTGGATGAAGCAATCACATTCTTTCGAGCCAACGTGTTCTTTAGAAACTTTGATATCAAGAGTTCAGCTGACAAGCTTCTGATCTATTTAACATTTTATATAAATATTGCTTTAAAGAGGCTTGAAGGCTGTAGAACCTTAGCTGAAGGAACCAAAGCAATTATTAATCTAGGGCTAGATAAGGTGCCCGTACCAGGAGAGCATGGATTCCCGTTTCCGGGGCTGTTCGCCAATCCCCAATCTCAACAAGAAGCAAGTAAGATGCTGTTAGACATTTTCGATGAGGAAAGTAAATCGTTTAAGTGTGTGTTTTTTTTCCTTTTCTTGATGAATTTTGAGACTGTGATTGGATATGACATGTGAAATTGGTTTGATATAGAAATGATAAACTAATGGTTTCATTTGATTGGTTGGTTATAAATATGTGAGTGGATGAAAATTCTTGATTTGGATTGAAGTATTTCCTTTAGCTGTCAACAAAAATGAGATTTTTTCAGTATCAAATTGATAAATGAGCTGTCGTGGAATTTTAAATTGTTTTAGCATGAGGAGATTCATCTTCTGAAGGATTCAAGTCATACACACAAGTTATTTCCCCTTGCTTAATCGAGCAAAAAATCCACATGTTAACGAGGTTGAATTCCATCAACATGGTATATGTGTACTTGTTTTTAAGATGCCCTTGTTCAAAAACCATCTTTAACTCGTCTATTTGGTTCAGGTCACTGGAACAGAAAGGACTAGCTAGTATTAACAATCTTGTTACTTTTATAGTTGTTTGTTTACAGTCTCCCTTGCTTTTTTTTTTTTTCAAGTTGACTAAATTGTGTCAATAGTACCATGCACCAGCAAAATAACAAATGCCAAGACACATATTTGTATATATGTGCCGAAAGGACACAATAAAATGGTAAAAAAAAATAAGGGGATCATTATGCTTGATGTAAGATGAAGCCTGTTGTTTGCTTTAGGACTCTTCACTGAATGACTCCTGACTGTTAAGAAACTTTTGCTTTTTGCCAAGGGAGAAAGGCTTCACTCAAGGTGATAGGTGGAAATGCTAACCGAACACGTCCAAAAAGGAGTGGATTCTTTCACATCTTCGGTTGCCGTAAGAAGTCGAAGGTTGAGCTTAGTTCTTCCCGATTTAGTCTTTACTCATCAGGTGATGAATTTACAATGAATACCGACTCTGCTTCTTCCTTATCGACTTCGAATTTGGCTTTTGCCTTTTCACTACTAGCTGTCTGATCTGACCGGTATCCTGATATCAACTCTTCTCTATTCTATGTCAATTCTGAAGGAACGATCCAGCTTCCAGTACAAAGGTAACTAAGATTTTTTTCCTATTTCAACTTTATGAAAACCTAAATATGTGATCGTCTGTTCAGGATTGTCTTCTGATGGATATTTTGTTATTTTATATTTTTTCTTATGGGATCTTTTTCTCATGAAACATAGAATGATTATTAATATCATTAACCTTTTTACCATACATGTTAAGGATTATTATGTATGTGATTAATTTTATGGCGGAAATTACTATACAGTCAATTTACTTGGGTTTCTTGGTTATGCAGAGCTTTTTAGAAATTACTTGAAGCAGATTCGTGAGGAAACCAATGGAAGATTATTGAGCGTGGCATATCGATCTAATGGAACTCCAAACAAATGGTGGCTTGCATTTGCAAAGAGGAAATTTATGAAAATACCTTGAGGTATTTGTTTCTTCAAACACATTATACAACATCTAATGGCTACATTTGACTTGACAACGAGCGTATTTTTTTGAATAAAACCACTACGTATTCTTTTGTTCACGTTGAAGCCTCAAGGAGTTGGAAACATCCAAAGGTTTAATGTCCCCGGTGTGCTTATATTTTTTCCATAGATGCATAAAATTAGAGCTTGATTGAGATGTAATTGCAAGTGCTAATGGTTATGTTGTACCTATATACATGACTTGAGAGCTATAGCCAATGTATGTGTTTCTTGCTCATTTGAACATTATTAACAACTTTACAGACATTTTTTTTTTGTTTATTAAATTTTCATTCAGATAGACATTGTATTCACACAACATAAGTTATTCATCTTTCTCCAGCTCAAGTCTATATAATTGCTTTTTTTTTTCGGTTCTCTTGCAAGACTCTCAAATTTTGTACTCACCCTATTTTGCAACTCAAGTCTATAATATTTTTCAGAAGAAATTACAGCGGTAAATTCACAATTTTTTTTATTACTTTCACATACACGAATATTTTCCACTTAATAGTAAGTACAAACTTCATTGTTTATGAATGATTTGATTTTGTGGTCTATTTTTTTATATTGGATCCAAAATTGCATTATTTTTAGTTTATATTGTTTATAAATAATTTATGTATATTGGTTTCTTTCTTGAAATTATAATATATTATTAAACTCCAAAAAAAGACTACTTACGAGATTCAAAGTCTGATGTCACTTAACATTAACAAACCTTGGGTAATAAGTCTACGCCTAAGCTGAATCAGTAAATCCCAAATTGAAGAAGCAAACCATACAAAATCAAAATACCAAAACTACAACTTAAACAAAAGAAATCCACTCAAGATTAAACTAACCAATCTTCTGTTATCCGCACTTGATGGAACAAGAAACACAGAGGATTAATCCTAACAAACTTAAACACAAACCAACAACACAAACACATAAACAAGATAAAAAACACTGGACTAAAGCCCTCCTGGACATTTGACAATAAACACACAAACAAGATAAAAAAACACTGGACTAAAGCCCTCCTAGACATTTGACAACCTACACCATCGCACCCAACACATAGGCCAACAAAACGACGAAGACCACACAACGAAGCATAGGACCTTGGTACAAAATCACATATACAACTACTCCACAAACCAAAACGACTGACAGCTAACCAAATCCGAGACCAAAGAATGAACTCCAACCTTTCAACAAACAACACTTGGTGGCCGAAGTTCACCGTCTCTTCCACAAAAGTGCCAGAATCTACGGGTAAACCCTCCCGAAGGAGATAACAACCCCCCAACTTGTTGCTGAATATCGTGGTTGAAATCCCCCAAAAGGAAGGAATCATAACCAATTGTAAAAATAAAGGACTGACACGACCCTAGAAGGAAGACATACACAATAGAGAATCTAACTCTCCCATCCACGATGAGAGAGGAAAAAGACGGGAAAATTGGCACCACTCCAGTTTCGGTCGCCTCAAGAGCTGGGAGAAGTCTTTAGAGGCAAGGAGGCTAGTCATAATATGAGAGAGAAGGGATGAGTTTTTGATTCGGTGATTTTTCAGACGAGAGAGAAAGGTTATGTGCAAATTGCCTTTAAACTGAGTTTAGACGGGCACAATCACGAACCACCTTTCGCCTTGAGCTCTAGTGACCTGCAAAACACAATGGGAGGGGTCCCAGCGAAAAACCTCCAATGCTAGTCATATTTTGCTCAGGGTTTTATGAAAATTGTATTTTTAAAGCGTATTGTGCATTAAGTGAAATAGAATCTGGTAATCTCCTTTTATAGGGTGTCTATCTTTCTGCCCACACAGCCTTATTACTAAGAAAAAGAACCTACCATATCTCATTTCCTAGTATGACACATCTCAAAGATATTTGAATCTGTAGATATATTTACAATCCTTAAAATAATTTTGTTTCCTTCCCAACGCGTCTCTGAGTTTTTTAGGTCGTCGTGGCGGCCTCGTGACCCAGCAGCCACATGCCCTCACCAAGTTGATAACATGACCTTCACTCGTACAACCTCAGGTCGTAGTGACCCCTCATCCAACTGATCTCAATTAAGAGCCTGACTTTATTGTTTAGGTCGAATCGTACCCTAAGCAACTACAACAAGCTCCGTGACGAGGTCAAGCCCTGACACTGAGCTAATGTTGTCCTAAATTTGTCACGCCAGAGCAAACTACTTAGGTTGGTTCACCAAGATATCATGGTCGCTATATCATCTGCCCCTCCCCCGGCCCTCCGCCCCCCTCCCCCAATTATGGTGTTGGAGTTCTACGAGGAACGTCGTATTGTCCAAGTCACATATCTAGTCTAGAAAAATAAGCCTAAAGCGCAGTGGATTAGAGTAAAGGTTAAACACTTACAACTTAAATTATTTTGACTATGTATAAACTTACACGACCTACGGAGCCGGACGAATAGTTCTGAGAAGTTCTTCTCGCCTCGTCCCCCTAGCCTCATCTATTTGTCTAGTCACAGATGCTCGTCGAGACTGTTAGCATTGACATCATCATGCGTGGTTGATGGGTGTCGCTCGAGCGCTGCACTGGTGGCGTGTGATGTTTCAAGGTTGGGATGCATCGCACCCAGTTGCCTTGTTGTGGTTGACCTGCAGCTGTGCCTAGCGTTAGGCATTGCTTGTAACACCCCGTTAGCTTATTAAAATCAGAGTCAAATTTTCACAATTTCTTTTCTAAAAATACATATTAACTTGCGAAATTGTGGTTCGAGGTGCTACCGAGAAACTTCTTTTCTAAAATCCGTTATCTTTTTCGAATTAAAAGTATTAAGAAAAACGGAATATCTTAGTCAAACAAGCATGTAAAACTGTATAAGATCAAGTTGACGAAACCTGAATATTAACATGCGAGTTTGTAAACCTAAAAGTGTCAACGGAAGTTCAAAACGTGGCAAAATACATATATACATGTCCAAAAGTCTATATAAACAAACCCACGACCACCATCTACGCTCACTCCTCCGGACCGACCCTGCAACCTGAAAAAGATAATATCGTGGGGACGTGAGCACTAAAGGCCACTGTGCTCCGCAGAAACTCATACTAAAGTAAACATTAATAATAATATCCATATCATGATCACACACACACACACACACACACACACACACATATATATATATATAAGTAAACTGTAATCTCCCGACACTAGGTCAGTAACTGAAATGAATATCTCGGACACTATGTCCATAACCGTGTGCACATTCTGATGGCATATTAAGGCTACTACGCCTGCACCAGAACTCGGGATGGCATATTAAGGCAACTGGCCTCCACCCAAAGCGGATAACTCATATACATACCTTTGACATGATAATAGCTATTATATTCAATGTAATACCCAGACTGGGTCCCCACCTGAACTGCTAATTTTGAAAATGTAAGTGCTGCTGCTGATCAATCTGTAAAAATATATATGTAAATAAACAATTACTAAGTACTATGCTCAGATTAACTGAAAATAGTTGT